TTCAATTCTTGTCTATACATTCCAAGAAATCAGATGCCTTGGTGATTTAGTAGTTCTGTTTTTAATTCTTTGGGAAACTTCTGATTGTTTTTCATAGTGGCTAATCATGTTCTCTTTTCTTCAGCATCATACAAAGGATTCAATTTCTCTACAACTTTTCCAATACTGTTGTCTTTTTGTTTCTTTGATAACTGTTATCATAATAGATGTGAAATGATATCTCATTGTGAGTTTGATTAGCCCTGATGACCAATAACATTGGCAGTTTCTTAATAGATTTGTGGGTAACTTGTAGATCTTCCTTGAAGAAATGTCTAATTGAAGTTCTTAGTCCATTTTTTTTCAACGGAGCTATTATTTTTATTTTTGTTTTGTTTTGTTATTGAGTATTAGGAATTCCATATATATTTTATATATTAACATCTTATAAGATAAAGGGTTTGCAAATATTCTCCCATTCTGTAGGTCAGGTTTTGACTCTATTAATTGTTTCTTTTGCTGTACAGAAGCATTGATAGAGTTTCATGTTTAATTTTGATTTTATTGCCTGGATTTTGTTGTCATACTCATTAAATCACTACATCCATTTAAGACATATAAGTCTTTAATCCATCTGGGGTTGAATTTTCAGTATGGTGTTAGATAAGGATCGAACTTTATTTTTTTGCTTTTGGTTATATAGCTTCCCCAATATTTGTTAAAGAGACAACAAACATTTCCTCATGTGTATTTCTGACAGTGTTGTCAAAAATCAGTTGACCATATAGTCATGAACTTTACTTCTGGACACTCCATTCTGTTTCATCTATCTGTCTGTCCTTACTCTAGTAATATTCTGTTGTAGTGACTGTAGTTTGCACTATATCAGGAAGAGGGAAGCCTCCAGCTTTGTTTTTTGGTCTAAGACTGAGCTGGTGATTTATGGTCTTCTGTGGTTCCACAGGAATCATAGAATTGATTTTCTCTATTTCTCTAAAAAAATTAAAAAATGGCATTGGGATTCTGACAAAGATTGCATTGAACCTGGAGCTAACTTTCAGTACTATGAGCATTTTAACAATATTGAGGTAGTAACCACTGAACCACATCCTCAGCCCCTTTTTTAACATCTTCTTTAGAGACAGAGTTTCTCTGAGTTGCTAAGTGCCTCATTAATCTGCTGGGGCTGGCTTTGAACTCAGGATCATCCTCCCTCAGCCTCCTGAGTTGCTGGGATTAAAGGCATACACCATCATGCCTGGCAATATTGAGTTTTCTAATCCACCAACATGGGATGCTTTTCAATTTCTATGTCTTCTTTAATTTCTTCATAGTTTCCATAATTTCTGTTTCAGATAGTTCATCACTAGAGTACAGAAACCCAACTAACATTTGTATGTTGATTTTGCATCCTGCAACTTAACTGAATTTAATAGTTCTATCAGGTTTTTTCCTGTACATTTTTGAGTCTTTAAACTTTTCCATATATAAAATCATGCCATCCTGCAAACAGAAACAATTTCCTCCCGCTATTAAACTGTAGTTTCACTCGTGTATGATTTCAATTCTTTGATCACTTTCAAATGCACATAGGCTCAAAAGCACAGAGTGTTTCAAAGTGTTGAAAAAAAATTTCATCAAAACTGTATCCCATCACACACAACATTTTATCTGTTAAACATCTGAGTATATTAATTCATATTTCAATCTTTTAACACATAAAAAATTATATTTTAACACATAAATAACACATAAACTTTATATTGTATGTGTTTTCCTCAAACACTACAATATAATCCAGTAAAGCCAGTGATAAGCCACATCTTTCAAAGTGGTAAAAATTCTAAAGTGAAAATCAATATGAAAAGCTGGTTATGGTGCAGGCCTCTAATTCCAGCAACTAAGGAAGCTGAGGCAAGAAGATCGTGAGTTCAAGGCCAGCCAGGGCAACATAGTGAGTCACCATCTCATTAAAAGAAAAAAATGGGGGGAGTAAAGCAAAGCAAATCGACATTCTATCCTGAAGTTTTCTTGTGGATAAATGCATACTTTTTTGTTTGAATTTTTGAAACACAAGAAATATAATATCTGACCATTTTTTAATGGATTTCCAGCCTTTTAAGAAAGAAGGTTGAGAATGATTGTCTAATTATAAAACCTGTATGATGAGAAAAGTGACATAAACTGATAAGGAATTGTTAGAAAAGATATAGTTTTGATGGAAGTTGATCACTGTGTCAACAGGTTCTACTAGATCCCTCTTGCTACAATGCTTTCCTCTTGTAGCAAAACAAACACTGAAATAAATATATTCCAATTACAAAACACTTATATTCATTACTTATTGGTATCACAATCTCTTAAAATATTATGCCTATAAAAGGATTGACCTTAAATCTTTCCCTAAAATGCTACAGTTTTAAAATCATATGCATTTTTCTTGCAGGGGGGAGGGGCACATATATGAACTCTCTTTGAAGTGTTTTAGGAAAGTTAAGTATCACTACTGTGTTTTATAATTAAATGATATAATACTTTTACACAGGAAGAGCTTAAATTGTTGCTGTTTCTCCATTCTCTTCTGATTTCTCTCTTTGTATAACATTTTCCTATTTAAAATTGATGTATAAAGGCCAACATCATTCTAAATGGAGAAAAATTGAAGGCATTCCCTCTAAAAACTGGAACAAGAAAGGGATGACCTCTTTCATGACTTCTATTTAACATAGTTCTTGAAACTAAAGGGATACACATAGGAAAAGAGAAACTCAAATTGGCACTATTTGCTGATGATGTGATTCTATACCTAGAAGACCCTAAAAGTTCCACCAGAAAACTTCTAACTAGTAAATGAATTCAGCAAAGTAGCAGGATATAAAACTAACACCCATAAATCAAAGGTATTTCTATATATCAGTGATAAATCCTCAGAAAGGGAAATGAGGAAAACTATCCTCATTAAAATAGCCTCAAAAAAAATAAAATACTTAACAAAAGAGGTGAATGATTTATATAATGAAAATTACAGAACCCTGAAGAAAGAAATCAAAGAAGATCTTAGCAGCAGATGGAAAGATCTACTTGCTCTTGGATAGGAAGAATTAATATTAACAAAATGACCATATTTCCAAAAGCACTATACAGATATAATGCAATTCTGATCTAAATTCCAATGACATTCCTCATAGAAATAGAAACAGCAATCATGAAATTCATCTGGAAAAATAAGAGATCCAAAATAGCTAAAGCAATCCTTAGCAAGAAGAGTGAAGCAGATGGCATCACTATATCAGACCTTAAACTATTCTACAGAGCAATAATAACAAAAACAGCATGGTATTGGCACCAAAACAGACTGGCAGAGCAATGGTACAGAATAGAGGACACAGAGACTAATCCACAAAATCACAATTATCTCATACTAGACAAAGGTGTCAAAAACATGCATTAGAGAAAAGACAGCCTCTTCAACAAATGGTGCTGAAAAAACTGGAAATCCATATGCAACAAAATGAAATTAAATCCGTATCTCTCACCATGCACAAAACTCAAAATGAATCAAGGACTTAGGAATACAGAGACCTTGTGTCTAATAGAAGAAAAAGTAGGTCCTAATATCCATCAAGTGGGATTAGGCCCCAACTTCCTTAATAAGACTCCTGTGGCACAAGAATTAAAATCAAGAATCAATAAATGGGATGGAATCAAACTAAAAAGTTTCTTCTCAGCAAAAGAAACAATCTGTGAGGTGAACAGAGTGCCTACATCTTGAGAGAAAATCTTTATACCTCACACATCATATAGAGCACTAATCTCAAGGGTATATAAAGAATCAAAAAGTTAAACACCAAAAAATATAATAACCCAATCAATCAATAGGCCAAGGACTTGAACAGACACTTCCCAGAAGATGATATGCAGTCAATCAACAAATATATGGAAAAATGTTCATCATTGCTAGCAATTAGAGAAATGCAAATCAAAACCACTCTTGTCAGAATGGCAGCTATTATGAAGACAAACAACAATATGTGTTGGCAAGGATGTGGGGAAAAAGGCACACTCATACACTGCTGGTGGGACTGCAAATTGGTGCAGCCAATATGGAAAGCAGTATAAAGATTTCTTGGAAAATTGGGAATGGAACCACCATTTGACCCAGCTATTCCTCTCCTTAGTCTATACCCAAAGGACTTAAAAACAGCATACTACAGGGACACAGCCACATCAATGTTTATAGCAGCACAATTCACAATAGCTAAACTGTGAAACCAACCTAGATGCCCTTCAACAGATGAATAGATTAAAAAATGTGATATATATATATATATACACACACACACACACACACACACACACACACACACAATGGAATATTACTCAGCAATAAAAGAAAATAAAATCATGCATTTGAAGGTAAATGGAAGGAGTTAAAGAAGATAATGGTAAGTGAAGTTAGCCAATCCCAAAAAAACAAATGCCAAATGTTTTCTCTGATATAAGGAGGCTGACTCATGGTGGAGTAGGGTGAGGGAGCATGAGAGGAATGGATGAATTCTAGATAGCACAGGGGTTGGAGGGGAAGGGAGGGGCATGGGGTTAGAAATGATGGTAGAATGTGATGATCATTATTATCCAAAGTACATGATGAAGACCTGAATTGGTGTGAATATACTTTGTGTACAACCAGAGATATGAAAAAATGTGCTCTATATGTGTAATACGAATTGTAATGCATTCTGCTGACATATATAGATTTAAAAAAATGAAAAATAATAAAATAAAATTGATGCATAAGAATCAAATAGGAGCAATAAGTCCAAATTATTTTACTGACATATTAGTCAGATACCATTTGTGTGTCTTATGAAAATATTATATTTCACAACCCATAGTTCATACTACTTTACAGTTGGGACTAAATGTTTTCAAACAAAAAGGTTCACCTTACTAAGATTACCACTTTCTCTTTTAACAACCACCTAAACATTAAAATAAAAATATTATATAATTACACTCACTTTTTTATCTTTATTGTATTTGGCAAATATCTCCTGGGCTCTCTCTTCTCCTCCATCCGTGAACAACATGATAATCTTATTGCAGTTGGCTCTGGAAACATTATACTGTTAAAACAAAACAATTGCCCGTTGTTGATAATGAAGGACATGGAAAATAAACCAATACGGAAAGAGCGTGCAGAGACTGCTAGTAATGAGGGAAATGTCTGCTCAGTAAATAGATTCTAAAAACCTGTTCCTGGGCCAGGCAGATGTCACTACCTCACTTCTTCCACATCTTGGATCAGATGTTACCCCATCTGTGAGACTTTCCTATATTAATTTGCAAGCTCCCTCCTAGACTATATTTCTCTTGATATCATTTTATATTCTTTTACAGATAGTATATATTTTATTTATCTGTGTGCTTATTGGTGGATTCTCCCAATAGAATGTACACTCTACAAAATCAGGACATTTTTTTTTCATTCAGTGTTGTTTCTTTGTCTACAAGAATATCTGGCTCTTAATAATCCCTCAGCGACTGAATAGTAGATGGACTTTAAGTTAATAAATTCACATGTTAATTTTATGACCCTACGATTTTATAGCAGAAACAAGGAAGTAATATTAAAATATGAAAACCTTTTCAGTGTAATTGCAATCTATTTCCGCGTAATTCTTCCTTCTTCCCTCCTCATTCTATTTTTTTAAATTACATTTCTAAAGGACAAACTCCCTCTAACATATAACACTCTTTTATTCCTTTGTAAATGCAGAGATATTCCCAGGGTATTTTTTCTCTCTTCTCTCAACCTTGCCTGCATATGCTACTCCTGAAAGATTCAATTCCAGTGATAAGTCCTCTTAATCTTTAAGGTCTCCAAAGGAGCTGACACAGGAGAACAATGAACTAGTACTAAAGGGCCATTAAAGTGAGCAATTAATTCAGAAAGGTGGATTTCTTGATGTATGACATTATCATCATAGCTTTCTGCTACTATAAAATGTATATCCTTAAATGCAGAAAAAAAAAATCACACTAATTTATAGATGCTCAAATTTTTTGAAAATGTCAACCCTCTAGCTCAATGCTATTCAAAGGAAAAGCAATATGAGCCTAATATGTAATTTCAAATTTTCTTATAGCCATCTCAAGGACAGTAAATACAAAACATATGAAATTAATTCTAATAATATGATTTATTTAGTCATCTGAAATATTGCCAATTCAAAATGAAATCAATGTAATATGCTTTATTTTCAGCAGCATCAGTCTCTGAATATTGTTGTATATTTTACACTTCTACACATGTCCATTCAAATCAACCACCTTCCAACTGCCCAACAACCTCATGTGGTGATAGTTACTGTGTTGGACTGCACAACCCTGAACTTCAAATGACTAATGCTTTAAAAAATCATTAATTCTCCTTAGCGTCCAAGCTTATTAAGGTCTACATTCTTATCTTACTTTTCAGTCAAGATAAATCTCAATTTCTGATGTGAAAATTAATGAAGCTAATATTTTTCTCTATTGGTGAAAAGATCATGTTTCATACAATCTCACCTCATTCATTGACTAGGTTATTAGGACTTTGGCAGTAAAAGCTCTTAATGAAGCATTGTGAAAACATAAGTATTGATTAACTCATTTATAACATTCTTCTCTTTTCTTTCTTTTTGTACTGGGAATTAAACTCGGAGCACTCCGCCACTAAGCTACATTTCGAAGTCCATTTTTATTTTTTGAGACAAGGTCTCACTAAGTTGCTGATGCAGGCCTGGTACTTGAGATCCCCTGCTTCAGTGTCCTCAGTCTGTAGAATTACAGGTGTAGGTTCTTATCTTTTGAAGATAACTTATCTGCAAATTTGATTATACAGAGCTTTACATATTTTATCTTAAAAATATGTTCATGAGCTGGGCACAGTGGCACGTGCCTATAATCCCAGCAACTCCAGAGGCTAAGATAAGGAGAATTACAAGTTCAAGGCCAGCCTCAGCAATTTAGTGAACCCTAAGCAGCTGAGTGAGACTGTGTCTCAAATGGGGATATAGCACTTATGGGTTCAATTCCTAGTACAATATAAAATAATGTGTGTGTGTGTGTGTGTGTGTGTGTGTAAAAGATGCCTAAAAATCCCTTAGCTAAATTAATTTCTCCATTTCATCTTTTTATCTGCATGTATAAAATGGTCAAAATAATATGCACAAGGACTATTTTATAAGAGCGATACTGTAAATAAAGTTTTACCATAGGTCATAGTTTTACTTTTTGAAGCACTGGAGGTATAATTAATATTAATGAATGCATTTGTCAATGTATTTGTATATTTGTGTATAACTCTCTTCCTAGGAGAGATAGATATCAGGGCATACAAAAAACGGGAGAATGTAGGAAAGATCAAGAAATCTTTTGATTTCAACATGAATTTTCCTAGGAGTAACTGCCTCAGGATTTGTGGTAGGATTAATGTGTATAATAGCAAATTTTCCATGGGTTTGCAATTATGTAAAAATCATATAATCATAATAATTAACATTACTTTGAACAAACTGAGCAAAAATTTGATTATTTCAATAAATTTATAATTAATGGCATTGATAATACACTTTAATGTGATAAAGTTAAACAAACTCTGTTCTTTCCCTACTTGGCCAGCACAAAGCACAGCATCTATCAAATAAACATTCAACAAAAACTTGAAAATGATAATACTTGATGAAATTATAACTGAAGAGTAATGCAGTTAATGTTTATTGTTGTACTTAACAACATGCCTGATTCTAATTTGATAGTTGCTTCTGTGATTTTAAAGGTAAATTTGAAAGGACAAAGAAAAAAACAGAATGAAATAGCATAATAAGAACATAAGTGTTTGAAGGAAATGACTAAACATGCCTCAACTTAATAAAGTGAGCCATAATATTTGAGAAAATTATTTAAACAAAAAATTTAAATGTATGTGGGATACGTGGGAAAAAAAAACACATGAGGCATAGACACCATGTTAAAAATCATTTACAACTTTAGTGAAGGCAGGCGGAGGGGCCATAGGAGTTTTCAGGTTTTGTCCTCCACTAGGAATGAACATGGGGTTAAGGCGGTCTCCAGTAAGCCTGTCTCTGAACCCTTCTTTAGGTTTCTTTAAAACCCAGACAGGAGGGAGTGAGGTGAGGCAAATTGTCAGTAATAAGAATAATTCAAACACCAAGATTTAGAAAACTCTACTATTTACTCAAGATAAAAGAATTTAAAAAAACCTCTTACTTTATAAGAGTATAAGAATATAAAGGAATTTATATTCCTTTACTTGAGGACAAATATATCTGAATCTAATGATAAATTACATTTGAATTTTGAAGTATTGAGATTTCAGTTTTCATTCATGAACATATACTATTTAATAAGCATAGTCATTTCACTAAAGATAATTTCTACTAAAAATGGCAATGTTAAACATCTTCATTTTCCTGACTTCTTACTGCTTATCTAACAGGGTCCGTTAAATAAATAAAACTTGACCTCAAATTTTACATATTTGAACTGAGCTATATCTACCCCATATTTCCCCATCAGGTTTCTGTGCCACCATCTGCCTCGTAGTCCAGTTCAGAGAACTTGGTGTCATCTAAGTCCCCTCCCACTCTCAGCAACCCCTCCTGTGCCATCCATCAATTACACCCACCTCCCTTTCAGAACACCTCACAGAATACCCCTCACCATACCCTTCTCATGCTCTGAGCTTTTAGTTTGCTCTTACTTTCTTCACTGATATCTCACAGCCTTTCCATTTCTATCACTGCTCTCAAACTGCTGACAGTCCAGCCATGCGGAACCAGCTGCAATGTTTTAATTATGTCATCATGTTGTCTCATCTCTCTGTGTTACCCACACTGTCTTGTTTTTTTTTTTCTTTTCTTAAAATGATTTTCCCTCCCTCATCTACCTTCCTAGATTCTACTGAGAGTTCAAAATTCCATTTTCAAGGAAATGCTACCCTTTCTTAACTTCCTTGGGGTACCAAAGCTGCCTCTCCTCTGTGCTGCTTCAGCAAACACGAAGACTGCCACATCATAATGTGAATGATGATCCAGTGCATTAGACTAGACCTTCTTGAAAGCAGATGATCTTTCCTCCTATAATTCTAACCCCGGCACTATGATAGCAAATTGAAAGGTACTCAATAAATATTGGCAGAGTGAAGAAATGAATGGATCTCAAACACTGTTTAGACTATTCACTCAGAGAACAACAAAGTCAGATTTTCAGAAAAGACTATATGTTAAGGTTGATTTATTCAGTGATTTGGTAAATATGACAGGAAGGATGAGCTGACTGTAACAGCCCCAGGCTAATCATCAATTACAGTAATAATGATGATCATGAGCCCCAAACCCACCTGATAGCCATCACTTGCAGGTGGTGTGTTATGTGCTGTGTTCTCTGGACCATCCTCTCCACAGCCCTCTCACATGTAAGCTGTGGTGACCCCCACTATGTAAGTGAGGAAACTAAAGTACAGGGAGGACAGGTCCCCATTTTCAACCTTTGTAATAATACTTCCTCAGGAGGGATGCAAAAATCAAGTACCACAGCATGAAATAGAGGACATGGCCATTTGAAGATACTTGTCCACAGAGTGAGCTGCCTGCTATACCATAGGGAAGGCAGCATGCCAGGGTCTGCCAGTCTACGTGCAGTCCTCCAAAGGTGATGCACAGGAATCTTTGCTGAAAAGGAATTCCTGCAACAAGACTTGTCTTTCTGTTCATCTTAAGGTCTATCATTTGGACTTTTGTGTTCATTTAGGAACAAGAAACCTAAATATACAGATGAGGTAGTCAAAACTAAAATATTTTTAGTAACCATTGATGAGTGATACTACACATATCCAAAAAAATAGTGTAGCAATTGAGATAAGAAAAAAAAAGTCAATCTACATAGGTCAACCCATTTTCACATGCTTATACAAAATAAAATCAAAATATTAGCTTACAAATGATTTTTTTATAACAGAATTTTGGGGAAAATTATTTAAAGGAAAAAGAAGATTGATAGGGTATACAGCTTTTGAATTTTGGACTTAAAAATAAAAGTAGTTCAAAGATTTCTACTGCCTGGACATATCGGTAGTTTGTGTCCATCTGGTACATCTGGTTTCTAAACAAGTAAAAACAGCACTATTAAGAAACCTTAAAGACAGTAGCTCTCAAGATAATGAGATTCAGATATAACAATTCAAACACAAGAAAAAAAGGCATAGTATTGCTACTTACATTAAGCAGTTGTTCAAAAGCAAAACTAAAGCCTTTCTTATAATCGGTTATTCCTTTTGCTGTGATGTTATTCACTGCATCTTTCAACACTTTCTTATTTCTTACATTTGCTTGAACAAGGTGCTGAAAACAGCTTACATCCTGAGCATTGCTGTTGAACTGCAAAAAGTAAAAAAAAAGAAAATGCATAAATGAACATTAAGATCAAACATACAATTTTCAACAAATTTGTTTTACCCATCTCGACCTCACTGCATTGCTATCTCTTTCAAAAGGAAGAGTGTCTAAGTAACAAAAGGCCAAAGATCAAATGGCAGCTTCCATTTAAGCCTCCAACTTACACTGTTAACCCTGAGCCAGTCACCTTCCTAATCTTGGTTTTCCTGTTTATAAATTTGAGTTATGTGAGGTCCCTTCCGGTCCCCAAATCTGAGGATCATATAGACAAAACAAAAACAACAATATGAATTCCAAATTAAAAACTGATATGAGGGCTGGGGTTATGGCTCAGCAGTAGAGCACTCGCCTCGCATGTGCAAGGCCCTGGAGGTGGGTGATCCTCTATCCTCAGCACCACATAAAAATAAATAAATAAATAAATAAACAAATAAATAAATAAATAAAAACTGCCCAGGATGCAGGAAAAGGTAAGGATTTTTAATTGCCTCTTGTCAGAAAAGGTTGGTTAAAAAAAAGAGGACACTGGATGACAGGGGAGGATAGCAGTTTTGAAATGTGAAAGTGGAGTCTATGTTAGCTCAAACCAAAAGGTAATATGAACCAAGATCAACTGGTAGCCTTTTACAAATGCCACTCTCTAGATGATATAAATAAAGAACACAGGGATTGTGGAGGTAAGTGAAGGGCAAGTCGATTACTGCACATAGTGATTGCTCTGAGTGACAAAGCTCTCAGCAATAAGAGACTGTGAGAGGACAGAATTTAAACTCTCCCATGATACCTGCTCCAAACTGAAAAGTTACCAATAAGCAACAAAGTAATTTGACAGTTCTATAAAGTGGATTCACATAGTTCACTGGGTATTTCCAAAAGGATAAGAACAATAGGAGTACTGCACACTCCAGGATAAGATGATGAAAAACTCCCATTGTTTATTAACTCTAACTTCTGTCAGTTCCTTAGGATACCCGGGGCCCAGACTTCGCATGTGTTCAAAAGTGGAATAAAAGTCAGACTTGCTGAAAGGCAAAGGACTGGCTCGACAAAATGTTGAAGGTTATTGTCAGATCAAAGAACACATAATTCAGTGCTTTGAATGGGTGGGTCACAAGTGATTCCAAATTCTTACAAATATAGTGCAGTATTCTTTTTCCTCTGAAGATTAATGAGACTAATTATAAGGTACACTCAAAATTCATTAGCTATTTGTAAAGCAAATGTTTACAAGTAGCCGAGAATGAAAGCAAGTAATAGTTTTGTGCTTTCAGATTTAAGCAAATTATTCATGCATACACATGCACACACTCACATGGACCATAAATCCATAAGCAAACACTTACGTGATATGTACTATGTACTCAATTTAATACAAACTGTAAAAACAATAATTATCTCCTCTGCAAATGCCCTACAAGAGAAACATTATCATTTGATCCATGAGAAACTAGGAGAGGTTGAGTTGTCCCTAGTCACGTGACTAATAATGAGGAGACCAAGTGACAATTGTGCAGTGTCACAAGAGTCTATTGTTCCAACCATTCCCAGGCTGCCTTTCAATGCAGTATGATGACTGATTAGCTCTGTAGAGAAATACAATAATGTGCTCTGAGAGACAATATCAGGGGAAGCATTTCCAATGTGGATTGTGAATAACAGTGGGGGAAATTCTGCTCAGAAATAGCATTTCCTGTGATTCCAGAGAAATGTCCCAGTGAGGAACATGAAGAAAAGAAGATTTCAAGCAAACAGCCCACATTATTGCAAAGATCCAGATTATTATTATTATTTTGGAGGGTGGATGCCTTTTAAGGAAACATCCTGAGGATCAATGAGGCAGAGGCTAGATCATGTGGAGTCTAAAGGAAATGCTAAAAAGTGAGGTTTCATTCTCTATCAAATGAAAAATAATTTTAATACAGAATTTTAAGAGATCACCCTAGCTGCTGTGTGGAAAACAGATTTAAAGTGAGCAAAATTGCCAGGAGAGAAGAGACAGGAAGCTATTGTCGTTACCTAGCTGAAAACATTTAGTGGCTTTTTTATTCATGGAGATGGTCAGAAAAGGAAGGACTCAGATGTATTTTTGAGAATGAACAGGACATGCTGGTGGATTCAACATGTGGATGAGTAACAGAACAGGATCTTGAGTAACCGCCAGGTTTCTGACGCAGCCTCCGTGTCTGGAAGAGTGACCAGTTCAGGGATAACTGAGGGCTGGGGACAAGAAGCAGAGTTTCACTTTGGATGAGATTTCCATGTATGTGAGACAGACGAGTGGAGATGTCAAGAAATAACATTTACAGCACGTGGCTTAAGGAAGATGTGACTTAATATTTAAAAAAAATAATAAAGTAGAAGGCTTCATCACAAAAATGTGGCTTAAAGCCATGTGAATTAGAGTGAAATAGAGCAAAAAAACTAAGAGTGAGTTCCCAGAGAGGCAGGGGGGAAATCAGGATGTTAGATTTTCTTACTTTTTTGGAGTATGATGTGAGGGAAAGAAAGAGAGAAATCTCAAGAGGAAGCCATAGTTCAGAGACAGAGATGACAAGGACTTAACTGCCACTGAATTTATGCACCTCAGGTGGAGAGTTCCTGAAGGGACAGAGCAGATAGAAAGGGGCAGTCTGTGCCTGGCAAGTCTTCACAGCTCCTTGGCAGAGGGGAGCAGAAACACACATGGTGGTACCTGTCGGGGGAACCTGGGGTCCAGGAAAGACTCCTTTAAAGTGGGGGGTCACCAGAACACAAAGGGCTGATGGTGAAAAGAGGAGAAAGGAAAAGATGGCAGGAAATAGAAAAGAGGTGAACAACAACCTGGTGAGGAGGTGAGAAGGATGGGATCCAGATGGTACACTGAAGAAAGTCCCTGCAGGAAAATGTGTGTCAGCTTTCTTACTGCTAGAGAGAAGAGGGGAAGCAGGCACAGGCGGTACAGAGGCCTGAAGGTGTCAGAGTTACTGTATGTGGCTTTTGTCTTCTTTAATGAACAAAGAGGCAAGGTGCTCGGGCAAATGTAAGGTCTGAAGAGGAAACAGGAAGTAAAACATCCTGTACAGATAAATAATTCATGCCTTTCCCATTTTTCTTTTCTTTCTTTCTTTTCTTTTCTTTTTTTTCTTGAACACAAGGTCAGGTACATCAGATGGATGAGAATAAAATTCCAATATATTTTGCTGTTTTGTATAATTGCAGATGTTAAAGACATAACATCATCAATCAAATGACCATTCCCATGGTCTCATTCATTGCTTTTTCTAGGCTTTCACAGTTTGATGCAATCTTTTTTCTAGATATTCAGTTTAGAAAACAAAAGTGTGAGAATTCCTTTACATTGGTGGAATTTAAAAGTTTGCCAATAGGTTAATAGGAAACATCTGACCTTAGAAAATTATTAGTGCTAGTGATAGGAACTGTTATTAACTGGTTTACTTAAATCATGAATCACCATAAGATACAAGTTATGCTGAAAATGAGCACTGAATAATGGATTGCCTTAAGTCTTTCATTTGGCCTTGACCTGCTTTTAATACAGAAAAGTGAGGCATCTCATTAAGTCACTTTAATACAAACTGATTAAATGTAAATTCTATTCACTAAATACAAATTCAGTGGTGTATAACAGAAATATTACAATTGCACTCATGAAAAAAAACTCATAAATAATGCAAAGATAGGAGTAACTAACTTTCAAAGTAAAACTCCCTATAGCAAATCTTATTCTCCTAGGAAAGTGATGGCAAACTTTCAAAGTTCGGAATTAGATAAGAATATATTACAGACATCTTAGACTCATCTGCTCTTAGAAAAAATATATACATACAGGTTTAATTTCACCAACTGAAATGGCAGTCTTTTGGTAACATGGATGCAGATATTAAAGCCACATATGATAAACCTTACAGCAAAAGGCAAAGATACAGCATCACAGAGTATGGTGAGTGAACAGACAGATCTAAGGAGCTTTTGTTTAACTAATGAGAAAGTATTTCTTAATTTTTTTTATTAGTAGTTGTACATGCCAGTAGAATGTACTTTGGTAGAATAAACATATGCAAAATATAACCTATTCTATTAGATTCCCACTCTTGTGGTCATACATTATGTGGAGTCACCTGGGTCATATATACAAAACAAGGCTAGGAAGTTATGACCAATTAATTCTATTGTCTTTCCCATTCCCCTCCCTGCTTCCCTTCATTACCCTTTGTCTAGTCCAATCAGTTTCTATTCTTCCCTTCCCCAACCTCCCTTGTTTTGGGTTAGCATCCACAAATCAGAGAGTACATTAGGCCATTGGATATTTAGAATTGGCTTATTTCTTTAGCATGATATTCTCCAGTTCCATCCATTTACCACCAAATGCCATAATTCCATTCTCCTTTGTGGCTAGGCAATATTCTATTGTGTATATATATCACAAGAAAATATTTCTTTTGAAATTGTAATGGTTTGTATCTGGAATATTCACCAAGACTCATGTGGTGAAGGGCTGGTCCCCAATATAGCACTGCTTAGAGTGGGGTTTTAGGGGACGTGATTGGATCATGAAGGCTCTGACCTCATCAGTGGATGAATCCATAGATGATTTCTTAGCTGAATGGAATCCTGAGAGGTGGTGGAAACTGTAGAAAGTAGGACCTAGTAGAAGGGAGTAGGCTCTTGGGGGCATGCCCTTGGATACTATATTTTGTCCCCAAACCCTTCCATTTTCTCTCTCTCTTTCCTGGCTGCCATAAGGTTAGCAGTTTTTGTCTACCATGCTCTTTTGTCATGCTGTTCTGCCTTGCTTCAGGCCCAAAGCAATGGAGACAACCGAATATGAACCTCTGAAACAAATATTTACTCCTTTGTTTTTCTCAGGCATTTTGTCATAGGAATGAAAAGCTAACACAAAAGTGTGTATTTAACACTGCAGAGTCAGAAACCAACATCAAACTAACATTCAAACTAATATCACACTGATTCTTTCTCTGATC